TAATCTGTAAAGGCAGAGCTTAACCCTAATCAGTAAAGGCAGTGCTTAACCTTCAGGGCGAAAAAACGTAATGAGCATGCGTGAACTTTTTGGCCCAGATCCCCTGGCCGGTTTTGAAAAAATGGCGGGATTTCAAATATTTTCTTGCCGAAAAATAAAATGTTTCCACTCTTAACCAGTAAAGAACAGGCAATTTGTCTTCAAAAGTTGTAAGCTGTGGTTATAACCTTGTGGTTACTTAATTTTCTCGAAGGATACCTCATAGTAAAACGAACTTTACCTACATTAATTTCCTTGCGTTGTACTGGAAATGTGCATGCGTTGGTCCGATTTTTTTCAAGATGCATTCACAAAATGTGTTCATATAAGGAGGTTTCTGGATATATAAGGTCCGGAGCTCCACTGTGGACACAAAATCAACACCTCTTTGGACAGTGATTTGCCCAAAAAAATTAACGCTTGCCCACAATGTGTTTGAAGTCACTGAACTTTGTCGCACTCGAGCGGATATTTTAAAACCCTCGCTCGATCGGACAGCCGTAGTTTCGCAGATCACTAAAATATAAACAAAATCCTCAATGTAGAAGTTATTGCGTGGATATGTGAGCAGAAAGAAGGTCAATCTTTATCTGGTAAAATCTTCCCAAAAATCGGTTTCAAAGCAACTACAGTTTTTTAAACTTGCTCGTTTCGCGCAGATAAATAAATTTTGCTTTGTGTTGTCAAGTTGAACACGAATAACATCTGTCAAAAACCTACAAGTAAGAAGGATTTCCTTCAAACAAAGTTAAAGTCACATTATTTCAAAAACTTCTTGCTGACAATGAAGAAATGAATTTTCTGTGCGAAAACAACCTACCTAAAGATCTTTAACGCAAAAGATCAGTTGCAACTTGGCAGCCAAGCCATGATCCACTATTTAGCTATTTTCAATAAGCTTAACTGGTCCATGCGAGGGTCTTCGTTTAAGCAAATTAAACTCAGCCGATCATTAGAAAATACAGAAAATTGCATATAAGGGTTTGTTTTGCTCGCCTCAGTCAAATCAAGCTGCAGCAATTGTTTACGGGAAAAGAGTCAATTGTTTTGAAGTTTAACACTGCCGGCAGTTGTCGTTCTCTACTTCACAGCGAGTGAAAAGGACAATTTGTGTACAGAAAGTTACTCTTACAAAGAACAGAAACTTTCACAGTGCACTGGAAAGCAAAACTATGTCCTAGTAATGAAAAATGAAAAAAAACTCTGACTATTATTACTTGAGTCTTGAGTAAGCTTGCTGGTCTTCTATTTCGGAGAAAGTTTAATAAGCGCACAACGGTTTATTCACTCTGATGCGTTAAAACAGCAATATGGTTCTTTCACTGAAGACAAAGATAAAGCTGGTTCTGCAAAGGTAATAAATCTGGGCATGTAAAAAAGTAACCGTAACTACTAATAACAGAATACAAGCGGGTTTTAATTCAACCCGGCGAAATCAACTCATAAATTAATCGGATGCACAATCAGAAAAATACTCGCCTCTTAAGGAATGTTCAAAACCTTTTATTCCACCTTAGATTGACGGAATGATCCGTTTTCCTTTAACATTGGTTGTTCTGAATCCAAAGTAATTCTCAAGCGACGAAAAAAAGCAAACATTTCAAATAAAAATGCTTTACAGGGAGCAAAGCTCGCACCACGTGCATTTCACTCAGAACTCCAGCAACAAACAAACACAGTCAACACACAGAAAAGCCCGCCTTGAGCCTGCGATAAGGGATGCGCAGAAGCTTGCGCAGAACGTTTTTCCGCCCTGAATGCTTAACCCTAATCAGTAAAGGCAGTGCTTAACCCTAATCTGTAAAAGGCAGTGCTTAACCCTAATCTGTAAAGGCAGTGCTTAACCCTAATCAATAAAGGGGAAAACTACGTTGTGTAAATTTCATGAGGTGTCCGAAGGGGCTAAGGTCGATGGGATCTAATGATAACCAGTTGCCTCAGCCGGGCGTGCTATCGTTGTGCACATGCTTAAAGTACTGGCCATACCATGGAGTTTGGTAGTGTGTGCTTCAGTTCATATCGTGGTCTAATTATCACAGAGCCTGGGTTTCCTGTGCGCTCGTTGGTAATAAGTGGTTTCAAGAGAGATCATTCTCTCTTGGTGGTTTCCGAATGACGTCAGGATTAAAAAGGCTCGCCGGGAGATGAAAAGTAATTTAAAATTGTTGACTTGTCCTTCATTTGCTAAGTGTCAACAAGTCAAGCTCGGTTGTTGTTTGATATTGAAAAATCGAGCAACTCCACTGATGAAGAAGTGTTGGAAGTTGCAACCCCAGCAACGTTAGTGCCTTTTTGCGCATGTTGGCATCATGTTCGATCCGAAATAGTGTCAACTCTTGTACTGAGATATCGAAGGTGGCGCGACACCAATCAGTTAACACCTTCCAGCCAAATTTTGTCCTTTTGTTGGTATTTTCTGATAGGTGGCTAACTATTTTAGTAGAAATTAAAGAAACCTCCGCTCGAACTTCTGTTCCAAAACAGCTTTGGTCGAACCCTTTCGGGGGCGGATTACTCCTGGAAATTCTTGGTGGGGGTGTGCTGCCCGGTTCTTCAAATCCTCAGCCTAATATCAGACCAAAAAAATTGTTCAAATGCATTTCGAATACGCATATTTCTCTTCTTTCTTACTCGTTTGGAACTGAAACGATAAACCGTTATTCCCTCGAAAACCATGCCCGATTCAAGACAAAAATGGGCAAACAGTTCGACGTTTGAATCAACTCTTGACCGAAAGTTGAGCCTTTTTATTATAATAATAAATAATAAACTTTATTTATATAGCGTCTATATCATCGTCTATATCATTAACTGTTCTAGGCGCTTTGCAATGTCACAAACACAAAAGTGAAAAAACGGACATTTCTTGTTTCGATGGAGGTCACAAGTCTTTACACAAATATACCACAAAACGAGGGCATTGAAATTGTTTGTAAAGCATATGAAAACTTCTACAAAGACAACCCTCCAATTCCTACACATTACCTGCGGGAAATGCTTAGACTAATCCTCAAAGAAAATTCTTTTCAGTTCAATGGAAAACACTACCTACAAACCCTTGGTACTGCAATGGGTACAAAGACAGCAGTTTCTTTTGCCAATATTTTCATGGCACATATTGAAACAAAAATTCTAAGCAGAACCGTTTTTAAACCTACAGTTTGGAAACGCTAGATTGACGATATCTTTTCTGTATGGGAAATCAGTAAAAAAGCCTTCATCGAGCAAGCGAACTTACATCACCCATGCAACTATCAAATTCACGGCCGAAATATCTGACACTGAGACTATGTTTTTAGACACGGTTGTATACAAAGGCACAAGATTCAAGGAAAAATCTATCCTTGATGTAAAGACACATGTTTAAAAAACTGAAACCTTCCAGTACACACATTTCACCTCTTGTCACGCGCCGAGTGTTAAAAAAGGATTTCTCAAAGGAGAAGCCTTGAGAATCCTACCAACAAACTCCACAAAAACTACGTTGGAGGAAAATATTTCAAATTTCAAAAAACGCTTGATTGACAGAGGCTACCCACAAACTATGATAGAAAACCTTCTATCAGTCTGCTCTCCTGAAACAAAACAACAAAGAGGAAAAAGAAATATTGCCCTTCGTCACACAGTACCAGCCCTCAGTGTCTACTTTATAAGCAGTTTTAATGAAAAAATGGAATCTTATACAAAACCAACCGCTACTTCGCCAAATTTTTGAAGAACCACCTATCATTTCCTACAAGAAAGGAAAATCCCTAAAGGACATGCTCGTTAGAGCTAAAATATGAAAGGTTTACACAAGGTTTCACGCCGGTATAGATGTGCGGCCTGTCACCCCTTATTAATGTTTAACAAAAATTAGTAACATTGTTAATTATTAATCATTACCCACACCTACGACTTTTACCCACACCCACGACCCACGACATGTACCCACGACCAACGACCCACGACCATTAGGCAAACTCGATTTTAAAGGAGTGTAATCAATGAATAAAACCTCCTATCCTGAAGGCTATCCGTTGCGTAATTTGGATAAAAAAGGTGACTGATCGATGATGATCTGACTGGTCCCACAGAAAAGATGGCGGTCCCGCCAAACAGCCCCCGGCACAAAGCGGAAAAATTACACAATAATTACGCACACAAAACGCTCTAGAGGTTTGCAAAACAGATAAAAGCAACAATAAAGCACCCACACTTACGATCTAATTAGCGAACAATAGCGATATTAGCCTAGCGTTTTGTCTTTCTTGACCTCTGTTGTTCTCTCCTCGATGGCGTCCCACGCTAATCTGCAGAAGCGACGCGAAGCGCTCACCCGTTGCTATGTGACGTCACACTGGCACGCGGAATGGGTCAATAAACGTAACTGGAAAACATGTGTCTCCTGCATGAGACACAGTATCAAATGCAGCAGATAAATCTAACATAAGTAGTACAACGGCTTTACTGCCGTCAATTGCATGCAGAATAATTCAGAAGCACGAATACTGGAAAAAAAACTGCTGGCGTAAAAATGATTGCGACGACGTGGCCAAGGGCGGTTCAGTGATTTTGCAATTATTGCATGATCTGTCGTGGTGTACTGTATTCATACATGTACGTCAGTTTCCTGTTGTTCTCTTAATTGCGCAGTCATCGAATCCGACGCACGTTCATGATCACGCTGTTAAAGTAAAGATGTCAGTAAAGAGGTTTTCCAAGGTACACTGTCCATAGTTCACGGTTAACATAAGATGCTTACACTACTTTACTTTCTAATTATTTTTACAGTTTTAGTAGTAAATTATCTTGTAACATTTTACTAAATATATTTCTTTAGTCAGATTGCATGGTCAACCAAAAGCCATTAAGGGCTCTTAAAATATTGTATGTTGTTCGAATGACGTCAGCAGCTTCTGCGACATGAAAAGTAATAAATGACTCATTTCGCATTCAATATCAGCCTCAGTTTGCCAGTGATGGTTTACATTCACGGTGGAGGTTACCTTATAGGAACAGCGATCACTTATCCTAGCGATATCTTGGCTCTCCAGGGGGTGGTGGTAGTCATAATCCAGTATCGCCTAGGTCCCTTTGGTTTCTTGACGACCGGTGACTCAGCGGCGCCTGGTAACTATGGGATGTTGGATCAAGTGCAAGCACTGAAATGGGTCAAAGAAAACATTGAGAATTTTGGCGGGAATCCCAGCAAAGTGACCATATTTGGACAGAGTGCTGGAGGAACCAGCGTGGGGCTCCATCTTCTATCGCCTCTATCACGTGATCTCTTTCATCAAGCCATCCTAGAGAGCGGTGTAGATTTAAGTCCCTTTGCGATTCAGCCAACATCTTTTGGTCTCCGTTTCACAAAAGAGCTTGCACAAAAACTGAATTGCAGTTCCAGTGACCATTATGCAATGGTTTCTTGTAGGCGCAGCAAAACAGCGTCAGACATCCAAAAAGCCGCAGAGTCAATCAAATTTGGTTTCGTTAATTATCTTTACTGGGCACCAGTCGTAGATAAAAACTTTCTTCATGATACACCCCAGGTTTTGAGGAAAAAAGGAGAATTCAAGCAAGTGCCGCTTATCATCACCTTCACAAGTAACGAGGGGGCGACTTTTCTTGGAGACATGGTCAACAATTCCTTAGGGCTGATGGAGAGCGTTGACAATGGAGTCAGTCCGACCTTGTTTAAATCATTTCTTACTAACTTCGCTCAAGTTCAAAACAGTAGGTAAGATCAGTAAAAATTAAATATTTGCTCAGTAGTTTCAATGCAGCAGAACCCCGTTAACTCCAACTTCCCGCCAACTCTGACTAAATTCAATTTCCCTTGGATTTCAACACGCTTTTCTGTCATTTTTACTCGGTTAACTCCAACTCGGAAAACTCGAATTCCCCGCTAACTCGAACTAAAACACCTTTTCGCCTCCCCTGATAAAAAAAGTCTCTGAAATGTACCCCGATAACTCGAATTCTGGTTCTTTTAACTACTTACCTAATCTATAAACTAACTAATCCCAGTAGCTCTTCTTGTTGTATGAGGGCGTGAAACACTAAAACTGACATTAGTCACTGTTAAAGGCAATTTCCTTTTAATTGGGGAAACGTACAGATCAAGTTTTATCATAAAAGTGCCTAATCATGTTACCGTGTCTGATGAAATAAGTAAACTTGTACTGCACCATACACTGAAATGAATTTTTCAATCGACCCCGGTAAATCCCGGCGTGACCACTCGAACTGTTCGGTAATCGAACTTAATCGAACGATTGGGTTCGATTAAGTTCGGTAATCGAACACAAGCGAACCACCAGAGTTCGATTAAGTTCGATTTTTGAACTTAATCGAAGCAATCGAACTTAATCAAGCGTTCTAAACCAACACTCAAAATAGACAAGAACAAAGCGATAAAACAACCAAATCAACTGAGATCGTGAGGAATAAATGTTCCGGGTTTATTGAATTCGCGTGATCGCTTTGTTTTACTGTAGCGCTGCTTTCACGTGGCAGACACAAACGTGGAGGAAGTCTGAACGTGCCGGTGCGTCTGGCTGCGGCGTTACATACAAGGGACGTTGTAAAGTTAAAAAACTCTTTAATGAAGCATATTATTCACTCTGTGATTGAGGAGGTCGATTAAAGGATAAAGTTGTAATATGGCTATGTAGTCAAATTGTTCCGGGTTGTTCTTGTACATATTATCGCTCCAAAAATTAAACTACACCGTACACCGATCCGCTACAACGTAACCACTACCGTAATATACTCAGTCGTAGTTTATTATGTACCCTGTTTAGGACAGAAAGGTCAAGAACCACACCCTGTCCAGCGGCACATTCCCTTATAGGTCATATAACCTAAGCAAGTAACCTCCCGGGGTCATAACAGGCCACCAACCATGTTGCATTAACATTTATCAAGAGAGAGTAATAGTGACTGCTGTTTCTCTCTGGAGACCATCCTCCGATTAACTCAAGCGTTTATCGGTATCAAATTAACTTTGGTGAAATTCACATATCCCCAGGGCTAGACAGGGTGTTTCCCTCTGTGTCTCATTATTCCCTTTTTGCATTTATTTATTCATTTGCTTGTGTTTTATTTGCGTGCAGTGTTTTACTTTTCCCTTCAAAATAAAACTAGTGAGGCAAGTTCCTCGGATTGCTTCACCCTGGGCACGGCTCTGGTCTGTGGAATAATTGTTAAATATCCGTCACTTTTTTTTAGGAAGAAGAATGCTGATCTTCTCGCCGATGCCTTGGAGTTCATGTACACCCCTTGGCCTGACAACAGTAACACATACGCATTAAGAAGTGGACTTGTTGATGTTATTGGAGATAACCTTTTCGTTGCCCCCAGTCACAAAGTTGCTGATGTTCACAGTCAGGTCGCTCCTGTTTACATGTATGAATTTGCTCATCGGGGAAAGTCAAGTTTGGTGGTACCTGCAGAGTGGATGGGTGTTGTTCATGCTGAAACATTCCGTTTGATTTCAGAGTTCCTTTCCTTCCCAAATTTTCGCCACATTATAGTCCCGCTGACAGAAATGTCAGTCTGTTTATCATGACCATGTACGCAAACTTTGCCCGGTCCGGCGATCCTTCAGTCACCGGTGTCACGTGGGAGAAATACAACTCGAGTCACAGAGCTTACCTTAAAGTGGACACAAGTCCCAAACTGAAGGCGTCATTTAATTCTCGCCGAATGTCTTTTTGGAATAATTACTATCCTAAATTGGAGCAGGTGAAGTTTGATGTCAATAAAGAGGTGGTCAGCGGTGCAAAGGATGTTGTTACCATGGGAACTGCTCTTCAAGTTGTATTTGCTTTAATAGTATACTTGATTTAATAAGACCTTATTTTGTTTTTTACTCATTGATTCAAGTTTATTAGAAGTGGATAATACTAACATTTTCTTTCATGTTTATGAGCGGAAAGTAGAGCATGATGTATGTAGCCGAATCAACTAACAAAGATCAGTACAGAAAAAAGGGCGATTTCAGTTTTAGCTAAAAAGTTCATAACTGTTATTGAATGAAGCTGAGAATGATACGAGGAATTATGCAGATAGAGGATTAAATAATTATAGTGGTCATTGAATTAATAGGGTACAGACTTAAAATGAGTGTTGCTCCTGCAATTCAGATAACCATACATCGGTAGAGGATGTCTAAGGTTCGTACAATTCTACAATTGTTTTGGGCTCCATTAAATCCTAATTTTACATCTTTAAGTTCTGGCAGTCTTCCTTGTATTTGACCGAGCATTTAATTTACTATTGCGATTTTAGCTGATCGCACTGCTCTGAATAAAGTACGGTCAAACCTCTCTACAAAGGTCATGCGTTTACATCGTCCACGTTTTCTGTTCATATATAGACTCGAGTATTCCCTCGTTTTCCTTAGAGACAGCAAAACGAGAGAAAAGACCATTTGAGAAAACATCATTCGCGATTCTTATTGGACGTATCATTTTTTTCTCGTGTGAAAACCATCGTTCGCTCCTTTGATTGGGTTGAACTAATTTGCGTATGAAAATTTACGACATAGCTTTTTGGTTAGTATTTCTCAGTATGTATATCCAGCCGGATTTATGAAAACCGCACTGGCTGGCTCCTCGAGGGCAAACACCTTAAACCGACTCAACTAAAGTAAATATTCGCAAGAAACTCAGCTCTTACCCATGGTTCTCTTAAGGTGACTCTCTTCTTGGTTCCTGATTAGCGAAGAAACATTCAAAGTCCATCAAATAGACACTCTGGACTTGGCCATACACTCTAGCTGCTTGAAGGCTCTAAATGACAGAGGATGCTTGAGACTTAAGCAAGTTCTAGGCAGAGAATTCAAGGCCACATCACTCCCGCTGACTTTCTCCCCCACCCCAGCCTAGCAGGTACTTGAGGGGAATGCTTTCATTGGCCTATGGGCCTCAAACATTACAAGAGCTTAAGGTGACTCGACCCAGTTTTTTTTAGGGGGGACCATCCTACTTTGAAGCTCTCTGGTATCCCCACCTTTACTTTTATCGTAAGTATAACACATAGAATGGATAACATATAGATCAATCTACAATATAACATAAAATTTTTGGCGATCGGAGTAAATGTCACGTGGTTATAATGCCACGCCCCTTTGAGGTCTGAGTCCAAAATCTGCTGTTGCCAGCATTTTTTCCTGAAAATCTCTCGGCTAGACATAGTGCGCATTAGTGCCTTGCGCTGAACAGAGTCTCACCAAAATCGCAAAGACCCAACTTGAGAAATTCAGCTGTTTCAAAATTTAGGTCATAATTTATGCGAAAATGATAAGCAAACTTTACACGGATTATATCTAATAAACTATGAGATTCATCTCTGTATTTTGGGCATCCTTATAACAGATGGGTCCTTGCAAGTCAGCAAAACGCTTTAGGGCCTTGTAAATGCGCGCGATTTTGAGCAAAGCAAACATATAGAAATTATAGTTTTCGCTATTTGTTGACGTTTGTCGGCGTTTAAGAGTCAATCTCACGAAAAAAGCATTTTCTTAAAAATTCGTAGTTTTTTTTCCTTCAAATTTTTTCAGGGCCACAATTGATTAACTAACTACCCGGACTCTGAATTTCATGGTCATTGAAAAACTGTGACATTATCTTCTATAAGCTCAAACTTGAGTAAACGTTGAAGATTTTTAGCGTTTTGGCTGAGTTTGTGCTTTGGGAGTTGTCTATTGTTTCTAGTCTGTCATTATACAGCATTCTTGTTCAGCACGCGTGCAATGACCGCGCTTGGCTGACTTCCGAAGGCTCACCGAGATATTCCCGTCACGAGTTGGTTTAATTATTGGCTTGCATTAAACCTATGAAAAAATGATATTATTGTAAGCTGAGCTTGACAATGCAAGGCAAGGCCCCTATGTTTATTCTAACCGCAGTGACCAGAAACCTGGCTATCGCTAGGTTCCTGTTCGGATATTCTGGCCCGTTTTGAGGTATGTTTTCAAAAATTCGGCTCGATATAATAAAGAGTTTTATTTCATCCCTTCCCATAGCGGTCGCCTGTTTAATTAATTCTAATTGTTATTTTTGACTAGAAACGCTGCTGCTTACGCAATAGTGAAAGAAAAATTCAAAACTGAGAAAAGACAACCTAGTGGAAAATAAACCAACCCTGTGACGTTTTCTCCTAGAACCCGGTAAAGATACAGATTCCACTGGGTCTGTTACAGAGGGGTGTTCATATTGTCCACCTTTCAACAACGGACACGTACCTCACAAGAGGCCACACAAAATTTGTCAACGTTGTTCTTTTTTTTTAATTTAGAGGAAACGTTCTTCTTAATATTATCATAATACACTTTAATATATACACACTCAGTTATCTTAGTGATCTAAACAATCTGATTGGCTCGCTATCTCGGACTATTCACCCCTAAGCGAGTGGATAACGTGTGAGCTCGGTGTTTTTCCCCTTTTTCAGAGAACGATCTTTTAAAAGTCGACAAAATCCTAGGGGTAAGAAAAGACTTGAAAGGATTTAAAACGGCGTTTTTCCATTTACTGTGGTTGAGTTTTGTGCTCGATGGATTGTTTACAACTCCCATTTATTCGCGTAGAAGAAGGCATTTATCGAAGTTTATTTATGACAAACAAATCTGAAAGCAAATGTTTGCAAAGATTCTACGTTTCAAGCAAATAGGAAAAAGAATGGTACAGGAAGACGACGTCTTACCTCCCCGATCAACCGAGCTACCATTTTTATCGGCACTTCATGCGAAGAATGACACAACAAACCCTTTTGGCTATAAACTTGGCGAGTCAACAGAAAACAACAAAGCTCTACTTTTCTTCTCGGGTAAGGAAACAATTCAAACTTTTAACGGTTCCGTTTAACCCTGATTAAGATCAAAATAAACTTATTTGTATTTTATTTATTTTTGTCCTTGTTCCCTTTTATCAGCTATCAAAAGAGTTTTGAAGGCCGCTCATCAGTTACCTTCACACTCTTTTAAAGAATTCTAATCCAATAAGACACCCTGTTGAAGTCGCTAAATGGCGAAATTGTTTTCCCTGTTAAGAACTCAAGACCCTGAAAACCATGTTTTCAGCGGCTCACCCGTATAGGCCCAAGAAAGTACTCCTCCCTGGATGTTGGGCCCAGTTTTTTTAAGTTGAATAGCGCTATCCACGGATAGATTTCTCTTCGGTGGGTTGGTGTGTGGAAAAACAAACTGCGTTTATGTGGTGGTCTGGATAACACATATTTTGCTGAATACTCAAACTAATGACACATTCTAATGGTCATTTCAGCGATTTTGCTTTTATCAATTGCATGATCTGTTTATGATATGTGCATAAAACTTATATGTGTTGTTAAAACTGCTAACCCCGATAAACCGGCAGCAAATGAACAATACCAGTTTCTGTAGCAAGAAATGTGGTCTTTCGTGAGTATATTATTTTGTGAACTGACGACTTTCGCAGTTGCCATTTTCCTAATATTAATTCCATGATGTGTCATGATATACTTTTCAAAAGACCTTTGTTTGCATAACATAGGCGTACGGGCCGGGGGGGCGAGGGGGGCTGCAGCCCCCCCAAAGTTTGGGCAACTCAGATTTTTTGGGCAGCAGGAGAAAATTTGGGCAAAGCCAGTTTTTAAAGACGTTTCCAATTATTATTATTATTATTATTATTATTATTATTTTGAAGAGATAAATATTTTCTATTTTAACCAGAAGTCGGCGCAATAATTCAGTTACGTTCACACGAGACAGTGGTTGCCTAGCAATCATACGCTGATCTTTTGTTGTTGTTGTTGTTGAGCACTGTACTTCACTGTACTAGCTGGAGTGGGCTATTTCCAGTCGTGAATTGATTAGAATAAACTTCCGCATAACTTTCTAGAATCACCTCCGCTCCTAGAACAGTGTGTGGCAGAACACGCATCAGCAATGGGTCTGAAAGTGAAGTGGCTGACTAAATCTCAGTTTGAATTACGAGAAGAATCATAATTTTTTTAAAAAAATCTATCGAGCGGTTTAAAAATTATTCACTAATTTGTTTAAGTAGACCGAAATGTTTACAAAACCCCCAACAAGATCGAGCGCTAATCAAATCCTTCCTTATAGAAATTGGTAGGAGCTATCTCCATGATCTTTCATACATGTTTTTAAAAAGATTGAAACTACTATGAGGTGAAATTGCATCTTAAAAGCGCTCCGTTTTCTTCAAATTACGACTAAACATCAAGATTTTCCTTTTTTTACCTTATTTCTCACAATAAAAACTTCATCCCAAAATATCTCGGTAACGCTCTTACATTTCCGCTTTAACTTCACGAACATCGAGGCGACTATTGGAGGAAAGAGCTCGCCTGAACGATTTTTAAGAACAGTTCCCACTGAGAAATATTGCTGCAAGTATAATAGGTAATGGCGTCATTTCGTTGCTATGTCAGCTCCGATGTCATTGCAATCCTGATCATGACAAATTTCCCTCTTTATCTAATACAACTGTGGTGGCAATTTTTTCCAAATGCTTGTTTGTGGCGACGTAGTTTATGCTCAAATTTGGCAGGTATTGACTCTGAAAAACTGTCTCGAGCCACTTTCATATGCCAGTACGGCCTACTTTGTTGCATGGCTCTACTTTCCTTTCGACTGTTTTGTAAAAATTTGGGCAACTTGCAAGAATTTTTTGGGCAAATGGACTACCGCCCCCCCTGGCAAAAAATTGCGCGTACGCCTATGTTTGTTTGTCAGTATTAAAACCGCCAGCTCAGAGAATAATATCCTTAAAAAAACGCAAAGAGCCATGAACAATACCAATTTCCTTTTGTTCTTTAAAATGTACAGCCAGCGAATCCAACGTGCTCTCGCTCATGCAGTAAGACTAAAGAAATTCGACAATTTGAGTTGTATGTGTTGGGCCCAGATCGATCATTCAGAGTGAAGATGCGTGAGCTGATCCAGATTTTTCTCATAGTTTGTCATAAATTTTCTTGTAACCTTTTTAGAAATATATTTTTATCAGCTAGATTACATAGTCAGTAAAACGCCAATAAGGAACATGAGGGGTGCTCAAATTGTGTTCCTGTAAAATATCGGCACTCTTTCACCATCACATGTACATGTATCAAGTTTGATTGACGCCCGAGATTTTAAAAAAATCCATAAAAAGACTCGCTGCGAGTTGAAAGGTAACTTAAAACTTAAAACCTTCATTTGGCTATTGTCAACAAGTCAAGCTCGGTCGTTGTTTCATATTAGTGAAAGAAACAGCTCCACAAGAAGTGTTCAAAGATGCTGCTAGCAACGTTTTTTATCTTTTGTGCATGTTGGCTTCACGTTCGAGCAGAAATAGTGTCAACTAAGTATGGAGATATCGAAGGACTCGTGACTTCGTATCCAAATGCCTCTGGTCCTTTCAAATCCGTCAGCAAATTTCTTGGCGTTCCTTTCTCCGCTCCACCAACTGGAGAGCTAAGGTTTAAAGCTCCACAACCGCCAAGAGAGTGGAAACCAAAGGTTTATTCGGCTAAAACCCATGGGAGCGTCTGCTTACAGCCCGCCAAACTTTTCGAAAACTCAATCGAGCCTTTTACTTCAAATTTCACTTTCAGCGAGGATTGCTTATATCTTGATATCTACAGCCCAAATATCAGCCTCAGCTTGCCAGTGATGGTTTACATTCACGGTGGATTTTACCTTCTAGGATCAGCAATCATTTCTCCAAGCGATATCCTGGCTCTCCAGGGGGTGGTGGTGGTCATTATCCAGTATCGTCTAGGTCCCTTTGGTTTCTTGACGACCGGTGATTCGGCGGCACCTGGTAACTATGGAATGTTGGATCAAGTGGAAGCACTGAAGTGGGTCAAAGAAAACATTGAGAATTTTGGCGGGAATCCCAGCAAAGTGACCATATTTGGACAGAGCGCTGGCGGATTCAGCGTAGGGCTCCATCTTCTATCGCCTCTATCTCGTGATCTCTTTCATCAAGCCATCCTAGAGAGCGGTGTAGATTTAAGTCCCATTGCGATTCAGCCAACATCTTTTGGTCTCCGTTTCACTAGAGAGCTTGCACAAAAACTGAATTGTGGTTCCAGTGACCATTCTGCAATGGTTTCTTGTATACGCAGCAAAACAGCGTCAGACATGCAAAGAGCCGCACAGTCAATCAAATTTGGTTTCGTTGACTGGGCACCAGTCGTAGATAAAAACTTTCTTCACAATACACCTCAGGTTTTGAGGAAAAAAGGAGAATTTAAGCAAGTGCCGCTTATCATCACCTTCACAAGTAACGAGGGGGCGACTTTTCTCGGAGACATCGTCAACAATTCTTATGGGCTGATGGAGAGCGTGGACAATGGAGTCAGTTCGACTTTGTTCAAATCATTTCTTATTAAGTTCGCACAAGTTCAAAACACCAGGTAAGATCAGTGAAAATTAAATATTTGCTCAGTAGTTTCAACGCAGCAGAACCCCGTTAACTCCAACTCGCCGCTAACTCTAATTAAGTTCAATTTCCCTTGGATTTCACCTCGTCCCTCTCCTCTCATTTTTACTCGGTTAACTCCAACTCGGATAACTCGAATTCCACTACCGGAATATACTCAGTCGTAGGTTATTATGTACCCTGTTTAGGACAGAACGGTCAAGAACCACACCCTGTCCAGCGGCACAACATCCCCGTATAGGTCATATAACCTAAGCAAGTAACCTCCCGGGGTCATAACATGCCACCAACCATGTTGCATTAACATTTATCAAGAGAGAGTAGTAACGACTGCTGTTTCTCTCTTTAGACCATCCTCCGATTAACTCAAACGTTTATCGATATCAAAATAACTTTGGTGAAATTCACATATCCCAAGGGCTAGACAAGGTGTTTCCCTCTGTGTCTCATTATTCCCTTTTTGCATTTATTTATTTATTTGCTTGTGTTTTATTTGCGTGCAGTGTTTTACTTTTCCCTTCAAAATAAAACTAGTGAGGCAAGTTCCTCGGATTGCTTTACTCTGGGCACGGTTCTGGTCTGTGGAATAATTGTTAAATATCCGTCACTTTTTTTTAGGAAGAAGAATGCTGATCTTCTTGCCGATGCCTTGGAGTTCATGTACACCCCCTGGCCTGACAACAGTAACACATACGCATTAAGAAGTGGACTTGTTGATGTTATCGGAGATAAAATTTTCGCTGCCCCCAGTCACAAAGTCGCTGATGTTCACAGCCAGGTCGCTCCTGTTTACATGTATGAATTTGCTCATCGGGCAAAGTTAAGTTTGGCGGTACGTGCAGAGTGGATGGGCGTTGTTCATGACGAAAACATTCCCTTTGATTTTGGACTTCCTTTCCTTCCTAAATTTTCGCCACATTATAGTCAGGCTGACAGAAATGTCAGTCTGTTTATCATGACCATGTACGCAAACTTTGCCCGGTCCGGCGATCCTTCAGTCACCGGTGTCGCGTGGGAGAAATACAACTCGAGTCACAGAGCTTACCTTAAAGTGGACACAAGTCCCAAACTGAAGACGTCATTTAATTCTCGCCGAATGTCTTTTTGGAATAATTACTATCCTAAATTGGAGCAGGTGAAGTTCGATGTCAATAAAGAGGTGGTCAGCGGTGCAAAGGATGTTGTTACCATAGGAACTGCTCTTCAAGTTGTATTTGCTTTAATAGTATACTTGAGTTATTGAGACCTTGCTTTGTTTTTTACTCATTCATTCAAGTTTATTAATTAGAAGTGGATATAACTAGCATTTTCTTTAACGTTTATGAGCGGAAACTAGAGCAAGATTTATGTGGCGGAATCAACTAAAAAAAGTCAGTAAAGAAAAAGGGCGATTTCAGTTTTTGCTAAAAAGTTCATAACTGTTACTGAATGAGGTTGAGAATGATACGAGGAATTATTGAGATAGAGGATATAATAATTATACTGACTAGTGAATTAACAGGGTACAGACTTAAAATGTTTGTTGCTCCTGCAATTATAACCATGCATTCATCGCTAGGATGCCTAAAGTTCGTACAATTCTACAATTGTTTTGGGTTCCATTAAATCCTAATTTTTGGTAGTAGTCTTCATTGTATTTGGTCGAGCATTTAATTACTATTGCAATTTTAGCTGCTCTGAATAAAGTACTGAGTCGAACCTCCCTACAAAGGTGATGGGTCTACGTAAGTGTCTATATAAGTGTCTATATAAGTATTCTAAGTACAGTAGAACCCCGATAAGTCGAACTCTGAAAGGAAACGAAAAACAGTTCGAATTAGCGAGGATTCGAGTTATTGGGGTCGATTGAAAAATTCAATATGCCATGTTAGAAATTGATGTTTACTGATTTCTCAGTACTTCATTGTATGGTGCAGGACAAATTTAATTATTTCATCAGAAACGGTACGATAACATGATTAGCAACTTTTATAATAAAACGTGATCTGTTCGTTTCACCAGTTAAAATCAAATTGCCTTTAAGGTATCAGCCACCCTTCAGGACCGTCCGCGCGCGGATCGCTGTAGCGTTAGTTGTTTTTATAAAAACCCCTATAAACCATATATTTTTTAAAAGCTTAATAATTCCAGATTATGGATTTGAACTAACAAAAACGATTTACTTAAATGTGTTTCGAAATTGGAACGTTTTGTGTAAAAGTACACTTCTCTATAAATCATGTTCCACTCCCGCCGGAAATAAACGGAAGAAAACAATTAACACCGCATTCGCTTCTCAACACGTTCCACTAAAAAACCGTGTCTCGGATTTTTGACAAGTGCGTTTGTTTTTCTTTTATTAGCAAATGAAGTTGGGAAAGGCAATTAGTCAACACTCCCCGTGGAAAAAAAGCTCTAGCTTTAAAATGAAAAGGAGTATTAAAATTCGCAGACACGGTTTTGTAGAAGAGATATATGGCATCACTCTGGCCAAATTTTAGCCAAATTGACTGAAAGGCTGCCGACTTAGAGTTCAAAACGTACGAGTCGATCGGCAAAATTTGCGTTCGGAGATAAAATAGAAAATACATTTTTGGCGGCATCCTACCTGGAATGAGATTATAACACCTAAATGTTTATTCTGATTGATATCAGAGTGGGATCAATTTTCTCTAACAATAGGACTTTGACAGGTAACATGTAACAGGAACAAACTTTCGCGGCAAGCAAGGGAACAGTTTAATTCTCCGTTGGAAAACTTCCACTCTTTTACACCACGAGAAGCACGGTTTTTTTAATTCTCTCTCAAGCAAAAGTTTTGCCTCTCCTTCGATCTTTTTCGTATGATCCGCCCAGGCGTTTTTGTCGATCGGCGCCAGGCCAAAAAACTTTGAAGCCGCCGAATGTCCACCACCGATTGCTCGAAGGCCAAGAACTGAGGCCCGGTTTATTTCAAACGCTCTGCTCTTCTCGGAAGAACTAAAAACAGAATTTGTCTTGTGCGACGGACGGCTTTCATTCTCGCACTGGATTCTCCAGGTAGAACCAAGTCCATGCTTAGTCGCTACATTTTCCATGACTTGGACTCTTCCCTGGCAAAATCGACAAGCTACAGACTCGTCCAGTTTCTCAAGCAGCTTTTCGCTCGATACGATAGCTCGACCGCTTATTGTTTTCCACGTTCCATCGGCAGATGGGGTCGAGGAGCTTAATTGGCTTTCTTCATCTGGCTCTTCAAGCTGGATTTTGGAGCGGCTTGCACTCTCAGCAACTGCAACATTTTCGCTTTTCTGAATATCCAACTCCTCGAGCCACTTCTCTTGCTGATAAAATGAGCCTTTGTCGCTCTCTGCCAATTTTGCGGCCCATTCTTTGTCAAACTCACTCTTCGATTTCTTTTTCGCTTTCGGTTTCGATGACGAAATTTTCTCTTTTTTTGGCGGCAAACGCTAAATATCCACGGAGAATACTAAAGGCTATAAACATCGCGAAGACAATTCGCACGTGTTGTGTCGAAGCACGCACTCGGTATCACGTTACTAGTTCACGGGCAAGTTAATTGATATATGACACGGGTATGACAGATCTTGTCAACGATCAATTAAGATAATTAACGAGAAAAAATCTTTTACCCCCGATATCTTTCGACAGAAATAATATTTTCTTCTAATTTTTTTTTTAAAAGAAAGCTCTCAAGCATATCTATTTGAAAACGTTGAAACCTCAAATACGAAAAAATGGCAATTTTAAGGGTGGCTGATACCTTAATCGTGACCAGTGTTAATCATGGTGTTTTCAGGCCCTTTACAACAAGAAGAGCTAATGGGGTGGTATCCGAGTGTAGTTAAAAGAACCAGAATTCGAGTTATCGGGAAAATTTCAGTAACTTTTTGATCGGCTTAGCTGGGAGTTCGAGTTATCGGGGTTCTACTGTATTCGCTTTGAGTACCAATCCTGTAACCGTAGGTCCGAGTAAACTTATGTCATCGTGGGGATGTGCCGCAGGGACTCTGGAACCCTTAGCCTATACCAGAGCTAGTTCAGCTGAATTTTGCTGCCCTATACTAGACTAAACTCCCTACATCCCTCCTACCGTAGAGTACCTTTTAGGCTGAGTTGCGTAAATTTAAACTTGCCGATTTGATTTTTTTTATTTTTGGAAGGCAATTCCCGATTTTCCTAGTCTAGACTAAAATCTTCAACCAACTGATCTGTTTCATGGAAAATGATACCCTATTCTAGACGCACATACCTATGTAGCCCATATGTGGCAGTACCCAACCCCCGGGGTTCCAAAACAGCCTTGGTCGAACCCCCGGGGGGGGCACTTGGGTATTTTTTGGGTGGGTATGTGCCGCCCAGGACTCCAAATTGGCACCCCGTTCTACAAAAAAATTCCCCTCAAATATATACCCCGTTCTAGAAATGGGCCAATTTTTTTATACCCCGTTCTAGAATTCGCCCTAAAACTGATACCCCGTTCTAGAAATGGGCTATTTTTTTATACTCCGTTCTAGGGTGCAACAAGAGTATAACAGTTTGCTTGTTAACGCATTGAACCGTATTTTTAAAAGCAATCTGTCCTTGAAATGAATTTCAAATGGCTACTTACAAAACTGAAGCTTTCGTGCGTTCGAAATATTATACCCCGTTCTAGAAAACGCCTCTGAAATGAATACCCCGTTCTAAACCAGGAGCTTCAAAATCCCGACCCCGTTGGGCGGCACATACCCGTATAGGTAATGTATGGGAGTACCCCCCCCCCCGGGGTCGAACCCACTTCAATTTAACCTTAAATTAGCTTGACGCTTGTGCGACGTTTTAATCTTGTCTTTGCTTGCCAAGTAAATTTTAATTAAAATGTGTTTCATTGGGATCTATTATTATTATTCGCTATGAGGTACCACGAGCCCTAAACTTATGTCATTTAGAGACTTCACGGATTGATGCGATCTCAGAAATCCAGGTTTTGTTGATGGCTGCCATCATATGTTATATCTCACTGGCTGTCAAGAATAATGGACCTTCTGGTCAAGCACGTTTAGATTAAGTTCGACGTTTGAATGAACTATTGAGCCAAAGTACAGCATATAAATGCTGTTAACTCGATACTTCAGAAGCACGACTTCTGGAAAAAAAAAAGGCTAGCGTAAAAATGATGGCGATGATGTGGTTCAGTGATTTTGCTGATTGCATGATCTGTCTTGATATACTGTAGTCATATGAGTTTTATTTCTAATTAATCTGCCCACTTAATGAATTGTATCATTTAGACCCATGTCAGCCTGCTATTGTTCTCTAAATTGCGCAGTCATCGAATCCGACGCGCGCTCGATCGGCGATCACGCAGTAAACTAATTAAAGTAATTCAAAAACTGTCGAAAGGCCAGTTACTTTGCACGTTTTATACACAAGAGTCAAATCAAACGCGCCGGCCGGGGAGAGATCCAGGGGGGTACTCCCATACATTACCTATACGGGTATGTGCCGCCCAACGGGGTCGTGATTTTGAAGCTCCTGGTTTAGAACGGGGTATTCATTTCAGAGGCGTTTTCTAGAACGGGGTATAATATTTCGAACGCACGAAAGCTTCAGTTTTGTAAGCAGCCATTTGAAATTCATTTCAAGGACAGATTGCTTTTAAAAATACGGTTCAATGCGTTAACAAGCAAACTGTTATACTCTTGTTGCACCCTAGAACGGAGTATAAAAAAATAGCCCATTTCTAGAACGGGGTATCCGTTTTAGGGCGAATTCTAGAACGGGGTATAAAAAAATTGGCCCATTTCTAGAACAGGGTATATATTTGAGGGGAATTTTTTTGTAGAACGGGGTGCCAATTTGGAGTCCTGGGCGGCACATACCCACCCAAAAAATACCCAAGTGCCCCCCCCGGGGGAGAGATTCCTATTAACAACCGTCTTTAAGGGGCCCGGTGTCACAGCTGTAAGTTCATTTTGTTTATAATGTCAGTTATGAGCCCTTTTTCGCTATAGAACTTGGTAATTTCTACCAAAGCAATCAATTCCACTCTTACAATACAAGAAATTCCCAGGCCTACAGTCTACCGTATTGTCGAACAAACACTAAGAAGTTCTCGCCTTTTTCAAGGACCCGCTAAGTTTAATAATTCACTTGACAACGAGGTCATCAACTTTCAATCCCTTTCCTCCTTTAAGAAAATACTGAAGATTAAATTATAATTATAAATATGAAAGCAGTTCATAAATCTTTCCATCTTCAACTTTTCGCAATCTTTTCTTCAATTGATGAAAACAGCTCTAGCCTGTAATTCGAGGAGGCCTAACCTCTCACAAGCTTCTATGGTTTCCGTTATGTCTCTTAGCCACTTCTTTTTCCTGCTTATCCTATATTATTTGTAATTCATTTCCTATTGTTGCGTGGCGAATAATAATAAAAAAATTCCTTGTGAATGACAAAATTACAGCTTCGTATCAAACAAACATTATACCAAACGTTGCAAACGAGAAAACTGAACTTTGAAAAACGTTTAGGCTAACAAGTTTTTAAAAACCACAATTGCAAGTGTTTCAGTCTTCTTCATGTTTGTTTTCAAGTTTTGAGAAGTTATTTTTATGTTTGGTGACGCATCCCACTGTTTGAATTTTGATACATTTTGTGAAACAGCTCCTTTAAAATCTTCACAAGAGATCAGTCAACCCCTTCGCAGAAAAAAAACCATTTTGAAAGGCATTTTTTGATAAATCATTCGAAAGAATTACCAGTTAGTAACTTATCTGCTTTTTGCATGCTCGGATTCATGTTATAGGCATCTATTTATAGACTTTTTACAACTTCTCAATACTCCCTCTATTGAGGTACACTTCACTCAGGAAGGAGTCGTCCCCACAAAATACTTGCTTGAGTGTAAGAGAGGTGTTTAAACCCAAACGTGTTTTTGATCTTTGCGTTTTGGGTGGTCGCTTAAGGGAGATTCGACTGAACACTCGACTGTATCATTCACTCTGGGGAGGGTTAGATTCACTCCTTCGCGATTGCTCTTAAAATAATCAATTATACTCTAATCACGCTGAAACGATCATAAAATATTTTATAACAAATCGAAATAATCCCAATCATAGAGTTAGGAGCGCGCATCTCGTTTATTGATGCGCAATACTGTGAAGAGAGTGTTATAGTGTTACAGGCACATTGTTACAGTATTATATTAGACTCAGGGGAAATTACAATAGGAAGTAAAAAAAGAAAAAAAAAAACGTGGACAATGGAGTGAATCCGACTTTATTCAAAGCATCACTATCCAAATTTGCTCGTGCTCGAACCAGTAGGTAAGTTGTATAGAGGCCTTCCCGTAACAAACTTGGAGATCTACCTAATCCCCCGACTTCTTCAATCACAAGGACGAAGAGTACCCTGGTCCCAGAGGTTTCTCTTGATTTTTCTTCGCGTAAGGGAGAAAGAGTCGCGAAGCGGCGAAGAATAGTCAGAAAAAAACGAAAGTCAGAAAGAAACGGAGTAGCCGAAAAGATATGAGTTTGAGAATGCCATAGAGTTTGTTATTAGTTAGTTTGGTAGTCCTGCTGCTAGGTTGTGTTGTTGAGTTGTTTCGTGTAGTCGTGACTACAGAGTATAGTTTGCTCGCATTTCGCCGTTACCCGGTAATTCTAGGATCTCGCTTTTTCGTCTAAAAAGTCTTCAATCCACCTTCTTTGATTGAGAGGGAAGCAAAATAATAATAATAATAATAATAATAATAATAATAATAACAGTAATAATAATTATTATTTATTATAATTATAATGGTTTATCATTATTATGTTTATTCACAGTATAGAGCGGTTTTCACTTGACTGTCGTAAAACCAAAACCAAAGTAAATACACTAGCCAACCAAAGGGCGTAGTAAAACCAAAACCAAAACCAATCCCTTTCGACAGTCAAGTGGCCGCTCTATAAATGAACTACATAAAGGAAACAGTTTTTGGAAAGGTATAAGATCTGGCAGTCTTGCATTTGTTGCGTTTTTTGCATTGGGAAGCTACTGTTTGATGGTCACTTGAGCAAATCACCACAGTGAGCTCCGTATGCGGCAATTTTAAACTGTTCATTGTAAAATAATGCTTCCTGTAAAACGGTGAGAAGGCTGATTGGCTGTCCTCAGTCCGTCAGAAAGATACTCCTCATGTCGATTTTACAGATGGTGTAATTCTTGCTGCCTATCGTTGCATCGAAGAAGATAATTTTGACGGTAAACTTGCCACTCGATGATTCCTCCACGGTTTCGTTGCGAATTCTATTGACGGCATTTTGCTGAAACATCAGCAGTCGGTCTTCGTCGGCTTTGTTTGCAGTGTAATTGTCCTATTTTGTTGCTGTCTCTTTACATCCTCTGTCTTTAGCTGACAGCGTTTGCCTACGCTGTGCCGTTGCTCGCCCTGAATTTAAAGTCGACTTTCTCGGCCTTGCATGCGGAGTTTTGTTTGTAAATCTTTCCCAGCGAGGACTGGCACTTGTTGAATCCACTGTTGTTGAGTTTGCTGTTCTCTTTTATTTGCCTGGGATATTGGGTGGTGATTCACCGACCGTAAACATTGCTATAATTCACAAATGAAAAAACCCTCTTCATGGTCTGGAATCGAGTATGGTTTTTGAGGGAACTACGGGATTGTATGAACGTCTTTATAGTTTCAATTCCAGATGAGTGCTAAGAAAGAAAGAAAAATATGGGAATTCGAAGAAATGGATTTGAAGAATTTTCAGTTTGTTTTTGCGCTCTAATCTAAGTAATGATGACAAAAGGCCAGGTCTGAAAACGGGTGTGGAACTACATTTTTGGGTCTGAAATAGGGTCAGGATTTGGAGAACCGGGGGGCACACCCTCACCAAGAATTCACAGGAGTACCCCCCTGGGATGTGTTGCTAAAACTGCATGCCGACAGAATAAACCGGCAGCAAATGAACAATACCTGTTTCTGTCGCAAGAAATGTGACCTTCCGTGAGAGAAAAAAAATATTGTTTTGTGATCTGACTTTCGCAGTTGCCATTCGATATGTTCTTTGATACACTCTTTTTTTTCTATAAGAATACATTTTATAAGAATATCGAGGCTGAAATTTGCGAAATTTTAAGAATATTTTAAGAATAAACCCCAGGCTGAGGTTTTGAAAAGGATGTAATTTTGTGTGTTCAAAAACTGTAAATACCACACAATTATGTTTTCAACTCATTCCATCCTCTGAACGGCAAAACTTGCCAACAAGGCGCAAAAACCTGCACTAACTATACTTGATATCCCAATATATTCTAAAACGGAAATGTCATAAGCTATAATTTAAGAATAATACAAGAATATTTTCAGCCTAAAATCGGCAGAAAAATAAGAATATTCAGCCTGGGCCGGAAAAACAACATTCTTATATAAAAAAAAGAGTGTAGGTCCTGAATACGTTAAGCCTTGGATATTGTCTCTAACAACAAATTAAGCTAGTGAAAGAAAGCTTGCACATACTATATGATTTCAAGTATTAAACGTAGGTATAAATTCCTTAATTCATTAAGATTGAAGAGTGTGATAGAAAGACGTGACTTGCTTAACATTTGCTCCCCATTTATGGTCCTGACTACGGTTGGTAAAAAGGTCAGGGGCACCCAACGAGAATATAGTTCAAAACCACTTAAACATGGTATTGTTAAACTTATTTTAGTATTTGAACGGTAGATATAGGCATACTTTTATCCCCTAAAAGTTTTTCATCTGTTTGGATTTCCTAGCTGAAAGTCTAGTGATCCGAAAATTATAGGTATCAAAACTTACCTTTTCGAAAACTTGAGCCACGAAAAAGGCTCCCGAAAATTCTAGGTGACCTTCTTAGGGTAAAAATCCGTTATACCATTTTTTAGATGTTCGAAAATCCTAGGAGAGACAGGCGAGCAAGAAATTTTACAGCAAATTTCCCTGAGAATTCTAGATCTCAAATCGTACTTCCGAACAGATATTTTCCGAAAATTGACGTTGGGTGCCCCTGAAAGGTGGATAGTGCCATCCACCGAGAAGATTGCTATCTTATGGAAGTATGAGGGTTGATTACCGGTGTCGCGTAATTTTTGCGTGCTTAGGTGCGTAAAATTTGCGTTCGCAAATGAAATGGAGGCAATACATGAAAGGTCGCTCGTAAGCGTAAAAGTTGAACCTCGCTCAACTTCTCGTTTAAACTCAGCACTTTTTATCTTCCCTCAATTTTATTTACGTGATTAAAATTTACGTGCGTTAATCTGCGTAGCTAATGAAAACGTCCGTGGTAATCAACCTTAAGGGAAAACAATTCTTTTATCCATGCCACTATATGGGTCCTTAAAAAGTTTTGCTGAGTATACACGTTTTTAAGGACCCTAAAGACCCATTTCCGTCTCTTAAGTCGATGTGTGGGACGATATTAGGTTTTAGTTTCATGTCATTTTGCTTTTATTAATTGCATGATGTGTCATGATATAGTTTTCAAAAAACCTTTGTTTGTCAGTATTAAAACCGCCAGCTCAGCGAATAATATCCTTATAAAAACGCAGAGAGCCATGAACAATACAAGTTTTCTTTTGTTTTTTAAAATGCACAATTAGCGAATCTAAGGTGCTGCGGCTGCATCACGCAATAAGACTAAAGAAATTCGACAACTTGACCGGGCAACTTGAGTTGCATGTGTTGGGCCCAGATCGATCATTCAGGATGAAGATAAGTGAAATCCAGATTTTTCTCATAGTTTGTAATAAATTGTTTTGTAACCTTTATAGAAATATATTTTTATCAACCAGATTACATAATCAATAAAACGCCAATTAGCACAATGGGGGGTGCTCAAATTGTGTTCATGTAAAATATCGGCACTCTTTCACCATCACATGTACATGTATCAAGTTTGATTGACGTCCAGGATTTTAAAAAAATTGCATAAAAGGACTCGCTACGAGTTGAAAGGTAACTTAAAACTTAAAACCTTCATTTGGCTAGTGTCAACAAGTCAAGCTCGGTCGTTGTTTCATATTAGTGAAAGAAACAGCTCCACAAGAAGAATTGTTCAAAGATGCTGCTAGCAACGTTTTTTATCTTTTGTGCATGTTGGCTTCATCTTCGCGCAGAAGTAGTGTCAACTAGATATGGAGATATCGAAGGATTCGTGACTTTATATCCGAATGCCTCTGGTCGTTTCAAATCCGTCAGCAAATTTCTTGGCGTTCCTTTCTCCGCTCCACCAACTGGAGAGCTAAGGTTTAAAGCCCCACAACCGCCAAAAGAGTGGAAACCAAAGGTTTATTCGGCTAAAACCCATGGGAGCGTCTGCTTACAGCCCAAACTTTTCGAAAACCTAATCGAGCCTTTTAGTTCAAATTTCACTTACAGCGAGGATTGCTTATATCTTGATATCTACAGCCCGAACATCAGCCTCAGTTTGCCAGTGATGGTTTACATTCACGGTGGAGGTTACCTTATAGGAACAGCGATCACTTTTCCTAGCGATATCTTGGCTCTCCAGGGGGTGGTGGTAGTCATAATCCAGTATCGTCTAGGTCCCTTTGGTTTCTTGACGACCGGTGACTCAGCGGCGCCCGGTAACTATGGAATGTTGGATCAAGTTGAAGCACTGAAGTGGATCAAAGAAAACATTCAGAATTTTGGCGGGAATCCTAGCAAAGTGACCATATTTGGAGAGAGCGCTGGAGGAACAAGCGTGGGGCTCCATCTTCTATCGCCTCTATCTCGTGATCTCTTTCATCAAGCTATTCCAGAGAGCGGTGTAGATTTAAGTCCCATTGCGATTCAGCCAACATCTTTTGGTCTCCGTTTCACTAAAGAGCTTGCACAAAAACTGAATTGTGGATCCAGTGACAATTCTGCAATGGTTTCTTGTATGCGCAGCAAAACAGCGTCAGACATGCAAAAAGCCGCAGAGTCATTCAAATTTGGTTTCGTTAATATTTACTGGGCACCAGTCGTAGATAAAAACTTTCTTCATGATACACCCCAGGTTTTGAGGAAAAAAGGAGAATTTAAGCAAGTGCCGCTTGTCATCACCTTCACAAGTAACGAGGGGGCGACTTTTCTCGGAGACATGGTCAACAATTCCTTAGGGCTGATGGAGAGCGTGGACAATGGAGTCAGTCCGACCTTGTTCAAATCATTTCTTATTAAGTTCGCGCAAGTTCAAAACAGTAGGTAAGATCAGTGAAAATTAAATATTTGCTCAGTAGTCTCAATGCAGCAGAACACCGTTAACTCCAACTCCCCGCTAACTTTAACTAAGTTCAATTTCCCTTTGATTTCACCTCCCTTTCCTGTCATTTTTGCTCGGTTAACTCCAACTCGGATAACTCAAATTACCCTCTAACTCGAACTAAAACACCTTTTCGCCTACCCTGATCAAACAAGTCTCTGAAATGGATCCCGATAACTGGAATTCCGGTTCTTTTAACTACTAAACTAATCTATAAACTAACTAATCTGAGTAACTCTTCTTGTTGTATGAGAGCCTGAAAACACTAAAACTGACATTGGTCACTGTTTAAGGCAATTTCATTTTAATTGGTGAAACGAACAGATCACGTTTTATCATAAAAGTGCCTAATCATGTTACAGTGTCTGATGAAATAAGTAAACTTGTACTGCACCATACACTGAATTGAATTTTTCAATCGACTTCGGTTGGGAGGTTGATTAAAGGATAAAGTTGTAATATGGTTATGTAGTCTCATTGTTCCCGGGTGTTCTTGTATATATTTTCGCTCCAAAAATTACACTACGCTGTACACTGATCCGCTACAACGTAACCACTACCGAAATATACTCAGTCGTAGGTTATTATGTACCCTGTTTAGGACAGAAAGGTCAAGAACCACACCCTGTCCAGCGGCACATTCCCTTATAGGTCATATAACCTAAGCAAGTAACCTCCCGTGATAACAGGCCACCAACCATGTTGCATTAACATTTATCAAGAGAGAGTAACAGTAGCCTCCCCGCAGACGTCCTTTGGTAATAGCGACTTCTGTTCCTCTCTGGAGACCATCCTCCGATTAACTCAAGCGTTTATCGGTCTCAAAATAACTTTGGTGAAATTCACATATCCCAAGGGCTAGACAGGGTGTTTCCCTCGGTGTCTCATTATTCCCTTTTTGCATTTATTTATTTATTTGCTTGTGTTTTATTTGCACGCATTGTTTTACTTTTCCCTTCAAAATAAAACTAGTGAGGCAAGTGCCTCGGATTTCTTCACACTGGGCACGGCTCTGGTCTGTTGAATAATTGTTAAATATCTGTCACTTTGTTTTAGGAAGAAGAATGCTGATCTTCTCGCCGATGCCTTAGAGTTCATGTACACCCCTTGGCCTGACAACAGTAATAAATACGCATTAAGAAGTGGACTTGTTGATCTTCTTGGTGATAACATTTTCGTTGCCCCTAGTCACAAGGTCGCTGATGTTCAAAGCCAGGTCGCTCCTGTTTACATGTATGAATTTGCTCATCGGGCAAATTCAAGTTTGGAGGTACGTGCAGAGTGGATGGGCGTTGTTCATGGCGAAAACATTCCCTTTGATTTCGGAGTTCCTTTCCTTCCCAAATTTTCGCCACATTATAGTCAGGCTGACAGAAATGTCAGTCTGTTTATCATGAGCATGTACGCAAACTTTGCCCGGTCCGGCGATCCTTCAGTCAGCGGTGTCGCGTGGGAGAAATACAACTCGAGTCACAGAGCTTACCTTAAAGTGGACACAAGTCCCAAACTGAAGACGTCATTTAATTCTCGCCGAATGTCTTTTTGGAATAATTACTATCCTAAATTGGAGCAGGTGAAGTTCGATGTCAATAAAGAGGTGGTCAGCGGTGCGAAGGATGTTGTTACCATGGGAACTGCTCTTCGAGTTGTGTTTGCTTTAATAGTATACTTGATTTACTAAGACCTTACTTTGTTTTTTACTCATTGATTCAAGTTTATTAGAAGTGGATAAGACCAACATTTTCTTTAATGTTTATGAGCGGAAAGTAGAGCATGATGTATGTAGCCGAATCAACTAAAAAAGTCAGCAAAGAAAAAAAGGGCGATTTCAGTTTTTGCTAAAAAGTTCATAACTGTTATTGAATGAAGCTGAGAATGATACGAGGAATTATGCAGATAGAGGATTGAATAATTATACTGATTAGTGAATTAACAGGGTACAGACTTAAAATGTTTGTTGCTCCCGCAATTATAACCATTCATCGGTAGAGGATGCCTAAGGTTCGCGCAATTCTACAATTGTTTTGGGCTCCATTAAATCCTAATTCTACATCTTTAAGTTTTGGCAGTCTTCATTGTATTTGGCCGAGCATTTAATTACTACTGCAATTTCAGCTGATCGCATTGCAGTCACAACCTGTTTACAAAGATACATGCGTCCACACCGTCCACTTTTTCGGACGGACAGACCGTAGATTCATAGACTCGAGTATTCCCTCGTTTTCGTCAGAGAAAGCAAAGTGAGCGAATTGAGCGAGTACAGTGTGAAAATTTCAGACCACGCGCTTGTCACCCTCCTCGACTGGTTTCTACCAATTTTTAATGACTAGTAAGTATTCTAAGAACAGTAGAATCCCTGTAACTCGAACTCTGAGAGGAAACGAAAAACAGTTCGAACTAGCGAGGGTTCGAGTTATCGGGGTCGATTGAAAAATTCAATATGCCATGTTAGAAATTGATATTTACTGATTTTCTCAGTGCTTCAGTGTACGGTGGAACTCAAATTTAATTATTTCATCAGAAACAGTACGATAACATGCATGATTAGGCACTTTTATGATAAAACGTGATCTGTTCGTTTTACGACTTTAAATCAAACTGCCTTTAATAGCGACCAGTGTTAATTTTAGTGTTTTCAGACCCTTTACAACAAGAAGAGCTAATTGGATGGCATCCGAGTGTAGTTAAATGAACCTGAATTCGAGTTATCGGGGAAAATTTCAGTGACTTTTTGATCGGGTTAGCAGGGAGTTCGAATTATCCGAGTTCGAGTTATCGGGGTTCTACTGTATCCGCTTTGAGTGCCAGCTCCTGTAACCGTAGGCCCGAGCCGAAACGTTTGTCATTGTGGGGATGTGCCGCTGGGTCTTGAACCCCTCAGCCTACACCAGAGCTAGTTCAGCGGAATTTTGCTGCCCTATACTTGACTAAACTCCCCAAATCCCCCCTATCCTAGAGTACATTTTAGGCTGAGTTGCATAAATTTGAACTTGCCGATTTGATTTTTTTAAAATTTTTGAGAGGCAATTCGCGGTTTCCCTAGTCTAGACTAAAATCTTCAACCAACTGATCTGTTTCATGGAAAATGATACCCCATTCTAGACCCAAACTCTCTGATTTATATACCCTATCCCGGAGTAAACTGCTTGAAAACCATACCCTTCACAGACGCACATACCTATGTAACCCATATGTGGCAGTACCCACTCCCCGGGGTTCCAAAACAGCCTTGGTCGAACCCACTTCCGGCAGTAGTCATAATGGCTACACCAGGTAGTAGCCAATCAGAGCGCAGCAAAATTGGTCTCGACCAATCAGAATCGCGCATTTCGCCCATGTGACTGATTGACGTCACAAATCAAGGTTTTAACCCACGTGACCCCATGGAATAAAGAACACACGCACACAAGAGTTGAATCTACATTCTTCACATAGTTTTAATGACCGCGTAAAGCCCTGGGTACAAGCGGGACGTGTGTGACGCCCTAATGACATCACGCCCATTACAAATCTAATAGTAGATCGAGTTCGTCCCCAATCCTCTGGTAGCCATAGGGATAGCTGGATCGGGTGGCGACATTGATCACGCGCTTGTCAAACACCAACCCATACTGCTTCACGCGCGGAACCACTTGAATTTGTTTCTGTTCTAAATCTCGTTTGAAATAATAGGGGGTGGTGATGTTTAAATTTCGGCGAGAGTCCTGAGGCGAGTCTAATTCGGAAAGAATATTCTCTTTCATGATGTGAAAATTAAGAATGGCTGATCCCCGGACGTTGAGGGTGAAACCGCGGACCTTGCACACCACTTTGCCTCCACGGGTCTGATACCCATAATTCTTGGCGCCCCCCGAAACAAACTCGGTAATGACGTCTCCGTCTAATTCATCCGTCATGTCCCCGAGAAAATCCCCGGTGACAATGCTGGGTTGGCCTGGACGCCACTTGTACACCACGCTGTCTGTATCATAATAGAGGACTTGCTGTTGAAGGGTGTCCAGGGACTCATACAGCTTTAATCGAGCATGGCACGTGGTGAAAGCTGCCACAAAGATATTGGTCTTGGTGCCTTTGACGGCATTGTCTTGGACACTGGTGTAGACAGCTTCCAAAATGTCGTCCGTGCAAAGGCGGAGCGTGTTGAGATCGAGGGAAGCATCAGAGATGAGATTGAACAAATGGGCGGGGTCTTGGACAGTGACGGTGGTGGGTTTGTTGATCCGCTCCCCGAATTTGCCCCAGAAGCTGTTCAGCATGAGCTTGGCCGTAGCCTTGCGACCGGGATTTTTGGCAATGCTGGCAATGTCCAGTCGGATGCCTTCCCGTTCCTGGTAACGAAGAATGTAGTCGCGTTTCTGCTCGAGGGTCTGACACCAACTGGGCCACCCCGCGGATTCTTGTTTGATCTTGAGCCACGTGTTGACGTAATCAGCAAAAAGACCCGTTTGGCGTTGCTCAGGGGGAAAATGCCAGACTTCATGGATCTTGATCAGCGTGTACCCCTTTTCGACGGCTTTGACCAACTCGGGTGTGCACCAGGTGCCGCGTAGTGTGCGTGCCGTGTCAGAATGAGGGCAATAGCGGGTTCGGGTCAACATGGGTTGGGCCTGCTCTGACTGAACACAAGCACGGCAGAGAGGAAAGGTGAGCTTGTTCCCGCTGCGCACGGGCAGAACAGGGTGGAACAAACCAGCGGGGGGAAGAATGTCGACGGTGGCTAGACCAAAATAGGATTCCAGGGACTGGTCGGCGGGCTGCGTGATGATCCGCGGATGCCCAATAGGGTAGGGACAGTTCTTATTCACCCACGGGTACAGGGAGGTCACATCCACATAGCGTATTTCCTCACCTTCTCCGGCCACAGCATGCAGAGCTACGGCACCCGTTCGACCCCCAAAGAAGGCTTGACGGGGTTCCAGGGGTGCCACCAAATCGAAGGAAGATAGGAAACGTTGGACAGCTTCATCCGTGTCCACTAATTGGTCCCATTCACATTCCCACATTTCGATGACCGTGTAGCCTGCTCGGAGCAGTACCATGCGTTTGGAAAGCGTGGCTTGATAGAGTTCCTCCACGGTTCGATCCGGTGTGGCATAATGTTTGGCGTTTCTCGCGGGATAACAGCGGGGACAGCCATGATAGAGACATCCGTGGAACTCGTAGACAGTGCGAGTCACAGGATCGTAGCCATCCACGAAATGACTGTCGACGCTGGTTCGGACCGACTGTTCGCCCCCATTGCGAACGTGACGAATGCGGTCAGCACTGGCCCCCTCTTTGGGAAGGAGGTGTTCCTGGTAGTAGAGCCATTGCAGGGCTTTGAGGGATTGATTGACTTGGGCCCCTCGCCACCCTCCGAGAGGTTCCACCGCAATGATGTCAGGGGTCAAATGATGCTTGCGCCAATACAGATTGCAAGCACTGGCGATGGTGATACACTTGGCCATAGGGTTGAAGCCAGCCTGCTGTTCGAATTCTTGCTGAAAGGCTTCACACCCGGCTTTTAACAGAGCCACATCGGATTTGCAATAGTCAATCATTTCTTGCTGGAAATGGAAGGGCACGTTTCGACGGACTTGATCGGCGTGCCAACGAGTCAGTTCGTCTTTCTTTTTGGCCATCATGCCGTCGGGATCGTAAAATTCCAAATCGGGGATGCGGCCCACATACTGTTGGTGGTCCGGGGTATTGAACAAGTGAGGAAAGAACCCCTTCTTTAATTCGGTCAAATTGAAGGTGCTGGGAAAAGAGGCCAGCGGCATAGGCAAGAAACACAACGAGTCAATGAATTTGATAGGTCCACTTCTAAAAGACAGGACTTTGGCACCCACCGTCAGTTGATCCACGACTTCGCGTTGTTGCTGGTAGAGTTCATGGAGAATGAACATGCCATCAAACCCTTTCAAATTATGAAACACCACGAGTATCGTCCGCTCCTCCTCACGGTCCGGCACGTCCGTGAGATCGTCCAAATCACGCAAAAATTGTAGGGCACAGTCCTCCCCATCCAATACATGAATGGTGGTTTCTGCACTCGATGAATAACATAACAAATTGGCCACAAACACGCCTTCCGCATTTTGCATGGCTTCGAAATCTGCGTAAACAAACAGGGGAGGGGGTGGCGCCACCATGCGACCTCCCCCCTCCTCTGTGGGTTCAGTCTCCTCGCGTTCCACCACGGGCTGAATGTAACATTTGTGGTATTGAATGGGTACCCATTCCTGACACGCGGGGCATTTGGCGTACCCGCACCGGTGACGTTGGTTGCGGACGACCGTGTATTGGGCTTGACACTTGAGACACGTTTTGATGGATTGACATTGCTTGCTGACTTCATGATAACGTTTGCATTGACTGCCGTGAAACTTGCGGTAACACAGACTGCAATACTCGGTGGGGCGGGTGCCACGCACATAATCCGGACAATCAAAGCGCCCACACGCGGAGCAGCGTCTCCCTTGACAAGTATGATTGGTTCGATCGTCGGTGTTGAACCCTCGTTCACAGTCCAGGCAATAATACGAACGATTGACAAACGCAGGAAAGGACGTGCAGCCGTCAAAATGATCATTGGATTTCAGTAAACGAATCTGATGAGGGGCGGTAGGGCCTTTGAAAATCAAAAAGAACGGTTTCATCCGGGTCATCACCAAGAGCTGGTATTGAGGTCCCAACGCT